GGGGGGGGAAGGTGCCTGAAAGACGGCACACTGAGATGCTGCTGCACTTCCTGTTTGAAGTTAACAGAAGCAGACTCACTCAAGGGCACAAAATAAGGTGTCTTCAGAGTGGTTATGTCTCCTGCCTGGGGGACCACCTCTACCCAGCAGTTTACAGCTGACCTCAAACAGGCACAAGCAGCCAGCATGCCTTAGAAACAGCACAGCATGAACTTGAAAACTCTCTAGCTCCTTCCTACTGTTCAACTGCTTTTGTTCTCATCCACCGTAGGTATCACAGTTAACATCCAAACACATTCACCCAGACCTCAGCAAAGCAAAGTAAAAATCACAAAAACAAATGATTTCAGTTCTCCGAGAGAACGAGACACTCACAGGAGAGAACTCTGCTCTGGGCAGGCACACTGTGGCTGGCTCCTGCTCGGCTCTGTCTCGGTCTGAGTTAGGTGGTCTGGAGAGGTCTCTGCAGTCGGCACGTGCACAGTCTCACAGGGAGTCCCACCTGGACAGGGAGAGGGGCTTCTGGGCTTTTAGGCTGCTGTGGGCCTCTAGGGATGAAAGCAACCAGCAGGGGACGCACACAACACTTAGACTCAGTACAGGAACCGCACAGTGATAAACTGCATAGCTGCCCATATTTAGACATTTACAGTTCTTTATAAACACTACATGCTTTAAGACATTACCTCATTTCCTGTTTTTCAGCAGCCAAAAGATCAGCGCCAAACTCCTAATATCCAGAGTGCCCAAAATCTCCCCTTTGTTTTTAGACCAAGGCCCAAGCGGGAGATTTGCCCAGCTTGATCTGTGCCTAGAAGTTTCTGGAGGCCATTCTACCTCTGGTGTTCCTTTCCCTCCTCAACGGCCACTCCTCTAAGCCAATCACATTCCAGACAACAGCAACAAAACCCTTCGGAGGCCTCTCGGATGCTGCAGCTTTCAGTTTCCTAGGTGACCGTGTCGTCACTAGTTTGCAGTCTCAAAGCCAAGTCATCATAGCAACCCATTTTTTTTTTTTTTCATAAAAACCTACCAATGTTTTCTAAGTGTAAAATCAGGTCCAAAGCAGACTCTTAGAAGCAGTTACTGTCCTTTTTTAATCTAAAACCTTCAGCAAAGTCTCAGCAGAATGTTTTGTAAAGAAATCACAGCTATTTTACGCAAATGAATTCTGTAGTAGCTAAACTGCCTTGATTTTTTTTTTTTAAATTTTATTCCTTGGCATCCAGCATTAAATATGTGTTCATCATCTATTAGAAAGGCTGAGATATGGCTCAGTGCTGAAGAGCATACACTGTTCTTACAGATGTTGGTCCTGCACCTACGCCAGGTGGCTCACAGGAATCTCCAGCTCCAGTGGCTCTAACACCTTACCTCCACAGGCACCTGCCTCATACGCATATACTCCCACACCGACACACATACACATTAAGTAAAATACATAAAATTTTAAAACATTTAGTTTTTTACAATGTTCATCAGAGTCCAAAAGATGACAGGCTAGAGAAGAGGAACTGGTCATCTTCATACAGCTGTGATGAGGAACCCACCTCCGACCCACCATGGTGGACCACTGACAATTCCCATCAAGTCTCCACTTAGCCACACCCTACACGACTCTGGTCGAAGCATTGTGATTTCTTTGGCTACCTGCACACCACCAAATGGGATACAAATGAAAGTCTGACAAGCACTGTGCAGCCTGTCCTCTGCAACTCAACCCTGGAAAGCCGGACCAGCCTCCTGGGAGAATGAGTGCCACCCAGCTGAGGAGCAAGGCTACCATGAACCATTCAGGTCCAAGAGCACTGTGTGAGCTACCCAGTATGGCTGGTGGAGCTTTGCTGAGCCAGGCCTAGCCCAGGTTATACAAGCAGCCTTATTTTAAACGCTGGCTACCACCAAGGTTCTACACTCACAAAGATCAGAGAGGAGAATGAACAAGTCAGAGTCGTCATGAGAGTGCCCATAAGGCGAGGTGGGGGTGGGGGCTACATTAAAAGTGCCATAACAAATAAATTAAGTCCAAGTCTGTGCAAGCTTCGGCACTCAGGAGGCAGAGGAAGGTGGATCTCTGTGAGTTTGTGGCCAGCCAGTGCTACACCAAACAAGCATTCTACAGGCTTTAAGTACAAAGATGCAGGAAGTTACAGCTCAGTAATCAAGGCTTGCCCACTAGGCTCAAAGCCCTAGATTCTAGCATCTCACACAGACACAGTCCTGCAGGAAGATGTGCAGCCTATGGCTGCACAATTCCATCACACCAAAGGGAAGGTTAACAGATACTCAAAACCTACCCCTTTCCCCCAGCAGGGAGGGCAGGCATCACATTTAAACACTGAGCGGGCAGTATTGCCTCTGAGGACAGACCCTTACATGGCGAGAGAGGTAGTTCAGTGGTAGAGCTACCTAGCATCCATGATGCTTTCCCTGCCTCCCATCCCCAGCACCACAGCCAAGCGCAGACCTGTAACTCATCTGCAGTCTGTAACAAACGTGACACAAGAAAAGGACCACTTACAGTCAGACAAGATTAGTGTGGCCAGCAATGAGCTCTCTTCTGAAGGCCCAAGAACAAGACCACACTTCCCAGTCTTTCTCAAATGGTGCAGCTCCCTGGTGTCTAGCCATTAAATATATGAGCCTGCAGGGGCCATTTTTATTCAAACCACCATAGACCCAAAGCCTGAAGGTCCTCAGAGAAGGTTAACATGGAGCATGGTGGCCATTCCTTTAATCCTAGCTCTTGGGAGGCAGAGGCAGGCGGATCTCTGTGAGTTCCCAGCCTGGTCTACAAGAGCTAGTTCCAGGACAGGCTCCAAAACCACAGAGAAACCCTGTCTCAAAAAACAAACAAACAAACAAAACAAGTTTAAGATAATCACTTATCTACACAATGAGTTCCAGGGCAGCCCAGGCGACATAGCAGGCCCTAATCTCAAAAAAGCAAGAGAAGAGGAAGCTGGTCTCTGCCACTTGGTGTATTCACTACACCAAGACCTGAGCAGCTACGCAGCAGGCACTTGTGGCCATCTGCCAAGTAAAAGGCCAGTCTAGGCATACAGCATGAGATGACCTCAACACCCCTTCAACCCTCATCCCCTCCCCCGCACAAAGACAGCCAAGCATGGTTGCTCATGCCTGCAATTCTAGCAACCAGGAAGCTTAAGCAGAAGAAAGATATCAAAAGTTTAAATTAAGGCCACCCTGGTCCACATTGTGAATTCCAGGTCAGCCTAAGCTACAAAGTGAGACCCTAAAACAGAAACAATGGGGCTGGGGGGACGGCTCAGTAGGTAAAATTACTTGCTGCACAAGAACCAGGACCTCCAGCACCCACCTTTGTAGGGGGGCAGAGCCTGGAAGATTCCTGGAACTTGATTCAGTGAGAGCCATTTTATAAGGAATAAGGCAGAGAGTGACATCTGACACCTTCCCCAGGCCTCTGGGGAACACAAACACACACTTTAAAACAACTGACAGGAGACACAAACCCTGACCTTGAGCACAAGACCAACCGTTAAAAGAAGTAACAACAGAAAATCCACCTACAGCTGGGCAGTAGCCTTTGATCTCAGCACTTGGGCTGCAGAGGTAGACGGATCTCTGTGAGTTCAAGGCCAACCTGGTGATCTCCATGAGTTCCAGGGCCCTGTAGACACTTTCTCAAAACAAAACAAAAATGTGCTAACTGGCACCTTGAAAGCAGTGCTCCCAAGCTGCTTACATATTTGAGCCCAAATTAAGAAATAGCTGCATAACAGAGAAACCCTGACTCACCCCCCAAAACAGGTGGGTGCGAGAAATGATTCCACAAGGTTGTCCACTCACTTCCGCACTTGCTGTGCCACGTGCACTCACACGTATCACACACACACATCATAATGAATAAATTCTAATAAAGAAAAAGCAAAAATCCCACCAGTACCAAAACCAAAATGCTTAAGATCACAGTTCCTTCTGAGGACAGCATTATCCAGACACGCTGGCACACAGCTGCAGTCCCAAAACTTTAGAGATTAGAGTTGGAAGTGATCCTTAGCTATATATTAAGTTTAAGGCAAGTTTGGACTTGAGAGCATGTCCAAAAAAAAAATCGATTATTGCTGCTTTGAGGGCAAAACACGAAGCACTCTGCATGCATAATCTCATTCCATCTTTCAGTGCCAACAGCTCTTTCCTGCACGACTCACACTGAGTCCAATCCACCAAGCTGCAGTCTTGCTCATCCTAACACCAGAGTGCTAGGAGGACAAATAATACACGGATGCTTTCCCAGGAACCCGCCTCCCACAGCACTGCTTTAGTCTGCCCATCAGAGGTGACACATCCCATAACACCACTGTTTGTATTAACTTAGTAAGTCAGTAATGGTAAAACACCCAAACAGAGCCCGAATGACCCCCACCCCCCCACCCCAGGAAGATGCAGAAGCAACTTAAAAATCACAAAATTTTAGAGCTGGAGGGATCTTAAGGTTTATATAATGCCAAATGCCTCATTTTTCTGAGGTGAAAGCTGAGCCTCTAATAATTTGGCCAACATCTCCCCAGGCATTGGGGACAGCAGTAACTCGCTCCTGGCTGGCACCCCAGACTCCTATGACTATCCCAGGCACTGTCTGCACCTCTGCAACCCCAAGACTCCCTGTCATGTTCATTCCCATACCTGGGCTCCTGGGTTGGCTGCTCTGTTTAGCTTGCTGGCTGGCCTTCAGTCATTCCCCAGAAACAGGGCATCAGGGAAGTTGGGAGGAACAGACACGCACAGCCAGCCAGCTAGCGTAGACACTGCTGTCACACAGCTGCCTGCAGTAACCTTAGCAGAACTGATAAGGAGGGCTAAAGGAGAAGAGGTGTGGCCACTTTTCCAGGCAGAAGGCTCCAGGCTTCAGGCTATGGGGAAAGGAAAGCAACCCAGAAAGCCCCAGTCAATATAGGTGTGCTGTGCTGCCTACAGCTTACACAGCCCTAAGTCCGTTCCTGGACAGTGAAAGAGGATGTGTGTGCACCTCCCAGGTAGCCAGAGGCATTCCATGGGACAACACTAGAGCGACTTACAGCGCACTCTTCGCACGACCCCTAGATTTAATCCATTAAAATCCAGTCCTGTTACTGTAGGCGTACTCTAAGTGACTGCCAGCCTTGTGTGGCTGGTGTCCGATTACTCTACCACAGAAAATCCCCCTGCACCGGGTTATCTCCAGTTCCCTCTCCGTCTCCCAAGTCCAGGCTTCGTCCCCTGTTCTTCATGATCTCTAAACCCACAGTCTACACTGTGTCCCTGCCTTAAAGCGCTCGTCTGGATCCTGATTTTACAGCTTCAGCCCCTCCAGTCCCTCGGAGGACAACGCTGACACATCCACGTGTGTCCCCTTCAGCACCTTTCCATTTCCTTCAAGGGTCCCCAGCTGTCCTCTAAGAATTAGGCCCTCATCCCCGTTGGAAGCATGTCTCCTATGCGGGTAACAGACATAGAGAGGCACTATGGTGCTATGACCTAAGAGCAAACAGATCGAATCTCACCCAAGAAGTTCTCACGCCAGTGCCCCGGTCCTGGGCCCGGGTTTTCAGAAGCTTAGTTAAGCCCTAAAGAACTTTGAACCACACCACCTGGGTCTGTCTCACTTCCTACAAGCAAGTCTCTGCAACAACAAAAGTGACCATTGGGAAAATATGTAAGCCAGGACTAGGGAGATGGCTCCATCAGTCAGTCATTGGGCCTGTAAACATAAGGCCTGAGTTTGATCCTTGCCACAACTTTTAAAAAAGCGCTGGTGTACACTAGTGATCCACTGCTGGGACGACAGAGACTGGCAGGTCCTTGGAGCTCAACCAGCCAGCCTTGCCTAATTGATAAATTCTAGGCCAGTGAGAGACCCTGCCTCCAAATAATGCCGGCGGCAGCACCTGAGGAACGACGCCCAAGATTGTCATCTGGCCTCCACGTGCACACAGACGTTTGTGCTGTCCCCTGCCCTCCACCCTGCTACACACACACTCACACACACACACACACACACAAAAACAAAAACATACAAGCTACATTAAACCAAGCTACTTTAAACCAATCACAGTGATGCATTTTCACACAGTACAAAAGAATATTCCACAACAGTCTTTCTTGCACTCTTGCTCAGAGGCCATCTCTGTATCCCTCCTCCCCAGGAAAGTTCTCATCTGAGTTCTGTTGCATTCTGTCTGACTTTGTGATGTCCCTTGCTGCCAACACACACCAAAAACAAAAAAAACATACAAGCTACTCTACTCCTCCATAAGCCTTTTAATGGCCTCCTGTTCCCCTAAACCACCCAGGCCTCTGCTCAGCACAGGAAGCTCAATGCCAGGTTCTGTTTATCATCAGTTCAAGGACGAAGCTCTGCCCCCCACTCCTCAAGGCTCTAAAATCTGGTGTGCTGGGTCTATCTCTCTGACTTTTCATCCTTTCTGTCGCTTTGCCCGAAATGACCCTCAACAACTTCTCAGCCTCTGAGAGTCTGCTTCTCTTTCACTTCTCACATCCCTTCCCTTCACCAAAGTCTATTCTCAAGAATTCCATCCCTGGCCGGGCGGTGGTGGCACACACCTTTAATCCCAGCACTCGGGAGGAAGAGGCAAGCTGATCTCTGAGTTCGAGGCCAGTCTGGTCTACAAGAGCTAGTTCCAGGACAGGCTTCAAAGCTACAGAGAAACCCTGTCTTGAAAAACCAACCAAAAAAAAAAAAAAAAAAAAAAAGAATCCCACCTCAGCTTCCTTTAAGGTCATTGCACCATATAAGTACCATGTACCACACAGCTTGGGCAATGATCCCCACCTCCCAGCCTTACCAGCTGGGGCTGTGCCCTCTGCCTCCAGCACCAAGCACACTGGATCACATAGGGCACCCCACTCCCTTTTTAACAAGGTCTGACCCTTGTCTTTCACAAGCATCAGATCAAGTACATTCTTTTTTGTAGCAGTGCTTCAGGGCACCAGACTGTCCACTGTTTCGCAAGTCCAGACCTGTTGATCAATGACAATAGCCTGAGGAAATGGTAATCTTTGTTCTAGAGAGTTCTAGGACTGAAAAGGATAACGCGTGTACCATTTGGTCCCAAACCTCCACCTCGGGGAAGACAGCCACATCTTGCATTAGCCTGAGGAAATGGTAATCTTTGTTCTAGAGAGTTCCAGGACTGAAAAGGATGACACATGTACCATTTGGCCCCAAACCTCCACCTCGAGGAAGACAGCCACAGACTTGCATGTCCTATGGAAGCTGCCCCTAAATCAAGATCCCAGGATGGTCCTCCAGGTTGCCACCTTCCTAGCAACTAGGCCACCATAATGAAGCCTTGTTCTCTTGGACTGGTTTGGTGGGCTGTGTGTGGTAACAGAAACTACCGCGCACTGAGGACACAACCTAAAAGAGCCTTCGTCTCCCCAACTCCTTCACTCCCAGTGATGCCTCTCTACCATATGGGTCTCACGAGTTAAAGCCCGGTTCCACACTGGCCTCCACCGCACGGGGAGCACATCTCACCTCCTCTTTGGTTATACACGGCCCTCTGCTGACCTGTCGCATGTTGCTACTTTTATTCCTGTTAACAAATCACAAACCTCAACGACACTCTAGGAGAAGCTGCAAGGGTCTGTGAACCTCAAATTAGAGAGCAGGAGGTAGAAGATCCCAGGAAGGACGCTGGGGAGAGATGGTCCTGAAGGCCTCCACCCAAGAAAGGTTGGGGAGTTCACCAGCCGGGGAGACCCCCGAGGAGGTTTGGGGCTGGGGCCAGAGGGGAC